TTGGGGACTGCTGGCATCGTCGGTGCAGACACTAGCTGGTATTAGCTCACGCACCTCCTCGTTGCGCTGGTCCTGCTGCATCTGATGGTTCTCCTTGCTGCGTCGCTGGGGACTCAGGCTCGGCTTCTTGAACACCGGCTGCTCATCGACATCGGTCAGCAGATTGCCCAGCTTTCTGTCCGCACGCGCATTCACCGTCGACGCTGTCGTGGACAGCACATTGCGGCGATTGCTGCTCCATTTGTTGACTGCGGATGCGTGTCCCCCGATTGCTCCGGATGATGCTGCTGGTGCGGCTGCCTGTTTGGGATTCTTACGGGTTACAATCGATGCCGGTATATCATCGTCATCAAAGTCCAGTACTGGATCCGGATCGTCCTCCTCGGTGTCCACGTCCGTGGGGCACAGCTCCTTGCCCATGCTCATCAGCGGCTTCATCGACTGCGTCTTCTTGCCCATTTCGGTGTTGAGTATCCTGGGCCGGGGCTTGGACTGCTGCGTGTGACTCTGATGACTCTGGATATGCACGGGCCCCATTTTGGTGTTAACACTACTGTTGCTGGCCAGGATCTTGATGCGCTTGGTCTGATTGCCCACCGTGTTGTTGCTTGCAGCAGCGGTCATGGATTTCTCCGAGTTGACAGTGATCGATTTCTTATCGCCGACACCCAAATTGCTGGAGGGGATGTTCTTGGTACGGGGCCTGCCCACAGCGAGCTTTTTGCTGGGATTACCGCCGGCTGCAGCGGCCATAGCATTGTGTGATCTGCTAATGAGCACATCGTCCTGGTTGATAATGTCATCGATATTCACAATGGTGAATGTGGGCACATCCTCCGACTCGGATTCGTTTTTCGCATCGTGGCTGGCGGCACCACCACCAGCTGAGCGCGTTGTTGGCGTGGAGCTGGCCGAATTCGAGTTGGTCAGTGAGTTCATCTTGTAGCTGCTACCCCGACGCTGTGGCAGCATCCTGGCTGACACACTGCCCGCCTGGCCCATCTTGGGCCGCGCCGTGCTCGCACTGTGCGCGCTCGTCTTGCTGGTGCCGCCATTCACCACCGGCACGTTGCGCTGCTGGGAGTTGCCGCCGCCGGCGGATGAGATGATCATGCGCTTGCGGGCCACAGGACTCTCGTTTTCGCTGGTGTCTAGTTTACGTTTGGCCGTGGCGGAACCAGAGCCATGGCCCGATCCGTCCGTCATGCTGGCATTGCTTCTGGCCATATTCATGGCCATCGTGCGACGCATTTGCTGCAGGCTGCTGGGTGCATTGCGGCCGCCACTCGAATTGATGGATATCTTGGAAGTGGCGCCGCTGGAAGTCGTCGTGCTGGCATTGACATTGCTCGCCTTCGGTGGACGTCCACGTCCACGCTTGACTGGCGGCTGCTTGCGTCGCAGTTCCTGCTCGTACTCGGCCTCGCTCATGTCCTCATCGTCGTCGTCGTCGTCGTCCTCGTCGGACTTGTGCAGTTGGGGATTGAAGGCGGCGTCCGCCAGCTCGTCATCATCGTCCTCGTCCAGTTCCAGCAGATCACTAATGTCGTCGTCGTTCGTAAACAGCTGCTTGGCCTGCCTGCCGCGGCTTCCGAAGGACTGGCCACCGCCATCAGCCAAGGTGGCCATGTACTTTGGCGTCACCATATCCTCGCTGGCATACTTCGGATTCGGTTTGATCGACCGCCGCGACCGACTGGCCGCAATGGTGGGCGGCGGACTCTCCGATACACGCTTGGCGGCCGGTTGCTTGTACATCTTGGGCGTCTCCGATTGGACGGAGCGCCGTTGCTGTGGCTTGAGCAGACCCAGCTTATGGTGACTACCGGCCGGGGTATGAGTGCCGCCCCCCAGCAGCAGATTGCCGCGTCGCTTGGCCAGATTGCTGGATTGCTGCTCCTTGACGGACTCCCTGATGAGCTTCGAACGCGCCGATGGCGGTGACGGTGATGGCGATGACGCTGGCTTCACAGCGTGCCTGGTGCGCGGGGTGGGCTTCTCTTGGACCACGGAGCGACGTCTTGTGCGGGTCTCTCGCAGCTCCTGCTGCGCCTCCCGCTGGTTATCCCTCTTCCTCAGTTTGCCGGCTGGCGTGCCTCCACGCGTAGGCGACTCCTCGTGCAGATTTCTTACGGAGACGATGCAAGGACGTGTCTTGACGCTTTCAGCTGCCTGTTTTTTTCCAGCTCGCATCTTTCATGGGTAGCTGGAATCGGAGGTAAAGACGAAATGGATTATTAGCTGCATTGTGACCATTTACGATGAGTACAGTGGGTGGTGGATAGTGAGATCGTGTGATTTACTTGTAACCTATCAGTAGTTTGTTAAAATGTCTAATTGATTTGAGCATAATGTGATTGAATTTAACATGGGGATTATTCACAAGCGCACTGCCTTACTGTCCAGGCACAACAATGCACCCCATACAGCGTAGCCAGGGCCCACTGTATTCAACTGATATGTGTGTAATGTGCCGCTGCTCTGGCAACTCTGGCGCCTATTTTCGTCACTTTTTCGCGCGCCAGTCGTTGCACACACACATGCACACGCAGGCACTCACACACGCACAGAAGCAACACGCACACACAAACAAATATGGAGCGACGGGAATATCGTTTGATTGAAATTCAGCTGCTTACCTTTGCAAATCGCTTTACATTTTCTCGGGCGTTAATGCTTGCCTTCAATTTAATCGAACTTTTCGCTGGCACTTTCACAACGCGCCGCTCTCTTTTGCTTATTGTTCGCTCGCTGCAACGCTGCTGCTGTTGCTGCCGATGGCCACACTTAATTGGCAATTTTTTTTCGAGCTGATCGTATTTGGGGTTTTGGACTGGAGATTGCCTTTCTATTTGGGATGTTTTTAAAACGCTAGGATGCACAACAACAACAACCGAACAACTGAGCTGCAGAACAGAAAGCAGAGCAGCAAAAGTGGTGGCAATAGTGGCCACACTGCTAGCGCAGAGCAACGCAAACGGCGAAAAAAAAATGAAGGAGAAAGAGAGGCGGCAGCGCAACCAGGTGGCAACGCGCTATGGCGATGTTTTTCTACCCAACTGTACCACACACACACATGCACGGCGACCCTGTGTGTTGTTGCTTTTCTCGACGGCTTTTTCAACGTTTTCCACTTTGAATTCCACACAATTGTCGACACAAATCGTTTGACTCGACTGCAATTGTGACAGCTAGATGTGCGCACCGAATTGTATTTGCTTTCTAACACGATTGTCACGATTACGCTTCCCGCGCTCGAAATTGTTCGCTCTCGATTAGAAATGGAACTGGAAAGAGAGGGGATGGTTGGTGTTGCAAAGCGTCGGTCGGCCAGTGCTGCAAAATGTTGCTTTGGCTGGGCAAACGGTCACATCGAATTGTTAACACCGATTTCCTATTCCTCAGCTTAATTTTCAATTGGCATTTTTATTTATAACATAAACAATTTGGGTACACTCGCATTGATCTACTTGAGGGCCGAGGGCTGTGGGCAGCGGTACTTGGCCATCTCTACCTCCGCCTCGGCGTAGCTGAAGCGATTGAAGCTGTAGTATTCGGGCACCTTGTAGCCACCGGTGGCAGAGGCACCTGGTCCCACGGGTCCAGTGGTTGGCTTCACACAGTTGCTGGTCAGTCCCACAACGGTTGGGGAGGATGGGGCACCCGACTGCGAGGATGAGGCTCCAGCTGAAGATCCTGGGGCGCTGGGTCTGCCGCCACCGGAAACGGGTCCGCCCTTGATCTGGCTGTAGCAGCGGCTCAGGGCCGGGCGCAGGGCACGCGATGGCGAGAACATGTTGGACTTGGTGGGTGGCTAACTTGAATCGTTTAATTCGCAAAATAATTCACGTAATCACGTATCAACAAAGTGGTCGTGTTGGGTAACGCCAAAAGTGCTCTTATTGGCGAAGAATCTGGTAAGGCCACTTCAAGCGCAAAGCTGCCACCTAGCCAAACAGATAAGCACTCAGCTGAAAATCACTTTTTTCTGATTTAAATATTTAAAAATTATTATTATATTATTATATTATTAATTATTATTTATAAAGTTATTAAGGCCGTGGTGGGATAATTATATATCACATTAATTTAACCAGATTGCGGCATCGTTTAGGCTGGAAAATGAAGACATTATTGAACAGTACCTTTTTTTGACTAAACTAGTTTTATTAATAGACTAAGACCTATGCAAACAACTATTTTCTCGTCTTGAATTTCGGCTGCGCCTTGCCGTAGTGCTGATCGATGTGTGAAACAGGCGCCCGCTTCTTGTCGTTGCGCTCCTTTTGCGATTTTGTGCGGCATTTAACGCTGGCGGCGCCCGCTTGGTTTTTGCCCAACTGATGGAACTTCTTGCGCTCCTCGCGGATGTTTTTCAGCCGCTGGCGTTCATCCTTCAGATCCTTGTAGTTCTTGGACGCCTTTTTCAGTGGCTTGGCGCCCAGTTTGACCAGCTGAAACATTTCCATCTTGCTCTTGTTTTTGATCACCCGCTGGTTTTTGATCGCAAAGTTGAGGACCTCGTGGCGCGCCTTCTTGATATCAAATTCGGGATTCAGTTCGATGCCGCCCTCCTTGGTTTTGTGCGACTTCTGGGTGCCATCGTCCTGCTTTTTGGTTCCACTTTTCGGTGGAAACTGCGGTTCATGAAAGACGAGTGCCTGGAACTCGGTGGTTTCCTGCTTCTTCTGCAATGCCAATGCCGCTCGCGTGGGCACCGGCTTGAAATCCGCGCTGACGTTCATTATTGGCTCAGTTCTCTGCTTATTTCCAGCAATAATAGTGTAAATAAAGTGAAATCAAAATATTGCATGCACATGTACAGTGCAGAAATGTACTAATTCTTACGTAGCGCCTATGCCCATCTGGCAGCATCGCTTGGTTGTGTGGCTTGTAAGGTGGCGCCTTAAAAGTCTCTATTACGTCACAAATTATCTTTGTTTCAAAATAAGTTGTTTAGCAAATTACTATTTACATTTGATATATTAAAACACATTACATTTACATTATATTTTTTTATTTATATTTGCCTCTGGTCAAAACTCATCTGGCAGACAAATCGCATCCCAACCCGTTGTGTCTTCATCTCCAGCGATGGAATCCAGCTTCCAATTGCTCTGGTCATCCAGATTGTTGAAGGGATTGGCATTCAAAGGACCCGACCAACTGGGTACGCGACTAACTGGCGGTGGGATGACATGTCCGTAATCCTGTTTCCGATGCCTGGCCGCTTTCAGTTTGATTGCCGCGTTGGGTAATTGTAGCACAGACTCCTCGTCGTGGGATGAAGTAGAATCAGCCACATTTACTATGTAGCTGATGGGATCCAAGCCGAACTTGTTGATTTTCTGGGAGGATAGGCTGTGGTGTCGCGGCAGATGTGGATTTCCCTCACTACGTCGCCGTGCCCCTCCGTTTTCCGGCTTAAGCCTTACGTTTCCCAATCGGCCGCCATTGATGACATTCCTCTTGGATATCTTCACCTGGGGCGACTGCGTTAAAGGAGAAGGGCGAATCATGGGCAGCTTTTTGGGACGGGGCATGCTGAGGCGACCATTTGCGTAGTCATTGCGTGGATTGGTGAAGATACCCGCCAAATATTTAAGCATTTTCTGGCACTAACAAATTTGTGATGGATGCGAACGGCTCAGAAACGGATTTTATTTTAGCTGCGACCGAGAAAATGTGATAGAAAAATTTTGAAGTGGTTTGGACTAGAAGTTGTATTGCTTGAGTGCAAACACAAAGTGTTACTATTTACTTACGTATTTCTTTTATTTAATGTATAATTAATTTGTATTATTTAAAAATACAGCAACTACAGCAAGGACACAAACCCTGGCATACCACATACATAGATGTACTCCACACCGGGTTGGAATCGCTCCGCGAGGATCTGGCAACGCTGCGCGGATCGAAATAAAAAAGAAAACAATGCGCTGGCAAGAAAAGTGAAGCAACAACAAAAAGCCGATAAAGCAGAGCCAAGGGAAAAGCGCAAAATGGCCAGGAACACGGGCAGTTCCTCGGGCTCCACGCCCGCTGCATCATCATCGGGATCTGGAGCAGCAGCGGCGGCAGCTGCAGCAGCAGCGGCATCCAATGCCAAACAGAAGCGCAGCCCGGGATTCAGTTTATCCTCGAATTTGATTCTGGACAAGTGGAAAACGATGATCGGATGCGTCTGCCTGGCGATAGCCTCGTACTTTGGCTACCTTGGCTACCTGGAGACGCGCGTGAACACGCCCTTCGATCACCAGAAGATGGTGGTGCATGCCGGCCTGGAGCAGCCGGATCGCTACTGGGGCTCCTACCGGCCATTGACGTACTTTGGCATGAAAACCAGGGATCCGCACTCCCTGGTCATGGGCCTGATGTGGTACACGCCCAGTAATCTGGGTCCCGGTGGCCAGGGCATTCGCCACTGGTGCGAGCAGGGCGACAAACTGGACTCGTACGGCTGGACGCATCACGATGGCCGCTCTTTTGGCGTCCAGGAGATCCAGGATCTGCCCTTCGAGCTGAAGACCTCGTTCGTGAAGTATCCGGAGGGCAAGCAGTACGGCGGCGACTGGACCGCCAGAATCTCGGTGAGGAATACGACAAGGGCGTGGGACAAGAGCATCTCGCTGATCTGGTACGTTGCATTAGATGAGCGCACCAATGGCCACATTAAGTACGTGTCGGATGACAAGAGTCCGGAGCCGGGCGTCTATGGTGAGGCACAGGGCCTGGGCGAGTTCCAAGTGCGTTTCCATGCCGTCAAGGGCAAGATCTTGCACAAATCCTACCTCAGCACAGTGGCTCCGTCGCTGGCCAAGCTCAAGGATACGCTCTTCTCGCACTTTCGCGCCTTCGCCGACAAGCGTGGCAACCGCTTCATCGGACTGCCTGGAGAGATAGTCTCCCAGAATGGTCTGCCCTCCACCAATCCGGAGCCCAACTTCATAGCCATACAGATAACGGCGGAGGTGGACTTCACGCTGGACATCACCTACCAGTCCACGTCGGGCTTCTCCCTGGGCGAGTCCATACCCAAGCCGCCGACGGGCAGAGCCTATCAGGAATCGCTGCAGGCGAAAATAGCGCAGTTTGAGCAGCGATTCGAGGACCGCTTTCAGCTGAAGCAGACGGGTCACTCCCCGGAGGAGGTGAGATTCGCGCGGAACGCTCTCAGCAATCTGCTGGGCGGCATTGGCTACTTCTATGGCTCCAGCCGGGTGCAATCGGTGTACACCAAGAACCCGGTGCCCTACTGGAAGGCTCCACTGTACACGGCCGTGCCGTCGAGGAGCTTCTTTCCCAGGGGCTTTCTGTGGGATGAGGGCTTCCATGGCCTGCTGATCAGTGCGTGGGACGTGGACATCGAGCTGGACATCATATGCCATTGGTTCGATCTGCTGAACGTGGAGGGCTGGATACCCAGGGAGCAGATCCTGGGTGTGGAGGCGCTGGCCAAGGTGCCCGAGGAGTTTGTCACGCAACGGAACAGCAACGCCAATCCGCCGACGTTCTTTCTCACGCTTAAGAAGCTGCTGACCAGCCACCGGGCGGAGTTGTCCCAAAACGGCAGATTAGCCACACTGGAGCGGCTGTATCCGCGTGTGCAGGCCTGGTTCAACTGGTTTAACACCACGCAGAAGGGTAAGTTACTACGTTGCCTGCTATCCTTGTCTAAGTGGTGTTCATTGCTGCGCTCCTTCCAGGTGAGCTGATGGGCACATACTTGTGGCGTGGAAGGAACGCGACTACCATGCGTGAGCTGAACCCCAAGAGCTTGTCCTCCGGCCTGGACGACTATCCGCGCGCGTCGCATCCCACGGACAAGGAGCGCCACCTGGACTTGCGCTGCTGGATTGCCCTGGCCGCTGGCGTGATGGCCGAGTTGTCCACCCTGTTGGGCAAGGACGATGCCAAGTACTACGAGACGGCGTCCTACTTAACCGACAATGTGCGACTGAATCGCCTCCACTTGGCGCCTTACAGCGAACAGTACGCTGACTGGGGTCTGCACACGGACCAGGTGAAGTTGAAGCGTCCGCCGTCCATGGCACCGCAGCAGCAGCAGCGGCATCATCATCACCACTACCAGCAGCCCGAAATGGAACGTGTGACCGGTGAGGAGCCCACCTATCAGTTCGTGGACAGCACCTTTGGCTATGTTAGCCTGTTTCCGCTGCTGCTGGAGCAGCTGGATCATGATTCGCCGTATCTGACCAAATTGCTACACGATCTGCGCGATCCGGAGCAGCTGTGGACCAACTACGGTCTGCGTTCGCTGTCGAAGAGATCACCGCTCTACATGAAACGCAACACGGAGCACGATCCGCCGTATTGGCGCGGCCCCATCTGGATTAATATCAACTATCTGGCGGCGAAGGCGCTCCATCACTATGGCAAAATCGAAGGACCGAATGCGGAACTGGCGCGCCAGATTTACGCCGAACTGCGCGACAATCTGGTGGGCAACATCTTGCGGCAGTACAAGCGCAGCGGCTACTTGTGGGAGCAGTATGATGACACCACCGGCGAGGGCAAAGGCTGCAATCCCTTCACCGGCTGGACGGCCACCGTTGTCCTCCTGATGGCCGAGCAGTTCTAGAGATCCGGTACGGGTTCGGTTACGGTCCTGGTCTGCCTGCCAAATCTGCTGTGAGTTCCTCAACGAACATCCCTGCCTGGAATCCGTGAAATGATCAATGCGTTTGTGTTTGGAATAGCTGGGTTTTCCGTGACCCGGCCATCGCATTAGGTCCTCCCAAACGATAAACGTTGCGGGGGCACCAAATAAATGTACTTGAAATGTAGCAGAACTATGGCAGATCCTTTTAGTTTTGGTGTGTCAGTTGTTTTGGCACCAACTCTATCCAAAGATTATGGCTCGCTGTGGTTTTAAGTAGTCTCTATGTTAGCATGCTAAGATAATTAATTACCAGCAATGCGTAGCTTTTAAAAACCATGTGTTTGGCGATTCCACGTCGGTGAAAGCCCATCTATTCCTAGTTGACTGCCCAAATTGCGTGTAGTCCTTAGTTATTCCACGCTCCAGTTGCTGTACGATACTTAAGAAACTTTGACAACAAACCGAGTGAAAAGTAATCATTTCTAGCGTTAAATAGACGAATTTTAAAATTGCAACCAATGCGTAGTTTTATTTCATTGAGGAGGATTTTGCCGCAGCCTTTTCCGAAAATGCTACCAATAGATTAAGTTTTTTCCACTTTTATTCCATAGATCTTTTGAAAATTCCTGTCGCTGGGAATAATCCGGTGTTATAGCTATATTATACACAATTTCCTTAACTATATAGTACACACAATCGCACACACACACACTCACAGGCAGATATAGATCGTCATTTCTTCGTTTGCATTTCACATGCGCTTGTTTTGTTGCATTAAAAAAGGTACAAAAATGATATATGCATCGTGCATACCTAATGGAAAACTAGCGACAACTTGCTTAATGTGTCTACAATTACGCTAAAAGGAAGAAAAACGAGTTCAAATATGATCATGGTCAGAAGACACAGCATATACAAAATATTAAGGTGGAGGTCCTCTTTGTTCGGTGCTCGATTCAAGTGCCTAGTCGTACTCTAGGGCTAATTAAAACATTTATACTTAAGCGACTGCTTAAGCGACTGCTCGTCCGGAGAACTCAATGAACTCGAGATGTGACTAACGAACTGAAGGCAAAGGGCTGGTGCTGGTGGGCATTTACAAAGTTGCAAAGTTCTTTCAGTTGCTTGGGTGAGTAAGTATGGTCTACGGAGATGTATGTATGTATATATGGCGCTGCCTACACACATCATGAAGTACATGGAACAAAGTCTTTATATGGCCAGGACCAAGCTCAATCTGTTAATCTCTCTATGCGCTACACGGCAATCTCCAATCAATCCTCCTTCTGCCGGACGCGTCGCCTGAACGTGGGCAGTCGGTCGAGCAGGGCCAGCAGGATGCTGCCGGGCAGACGCTGGTGCTGATTGATCAGATCCTCGATGGCCGTGGCCACCTGCATGGGGGTAGAAGAGCAGTGACATTAGCCAAGGGAGCAGTGGGTAAGGAGCAGTGGAAAGTGGAGCAGCAGTCACCTTTATCTGCAGATCCTGCGGCGTTAGGTTCTCATCGTAGGGTATGGGCTTGCCCAGGTAAGTGCGGAACTTGACGGGAAAGCCGCCGTAGATGGGATAGACCGGGATGCGCACCTTGTTGTACAGGCGCATGAAGAACGTGCGAAAGATGCCCACCTGGCGGAAGCCCTCCCGCAGATTCTGTGTGAAGCAGGGAATGATGGGGGCCTTCGCCTCGATGGCCACCTTGGCGAAGCCGACGCGGTTGCGCCACAGCAGCTCGTAGTAGTGATCCCCGAACTGTGCCTCATACACGCCGCCCGGCGAGATGGCCAGCAGATTGCCATCGCGCAGTATGCTCACGCAGGACTGCACGGTGCCGGGACTGACATGGAATGCCTCCGAGATGGTGCCCCAGCCGGGCAGCTTGAACAGGAACCGATCGCCAATGGTGTAGATCAGGCGCTCGCGCTGCAGCAGCATTCGCGAGTTCAGATAGTACATGTCGATGGGTATGGCTCCATGGTAGTAGACGATCAGCGCCGGTCCCTCCTGCGGCACATTCTCCAGTCCGATCACCTCGTAGCCGTGGTAGATCCGCGCATGTGCGTCCCAAATGGCGGCCACAATCTTGCGGCCCACTCGCCAGAAATTTCGATCGCCCTGCACCGCGCGCATTATCACCTGCCTGGAAACAGGGAAGACAGGTTAACACGAATAATTGGTACTAGCAGTCGACAGTTGACATAGGAAATGACACATATAAATATCATATACAACTCATTCTTTAGTTTTTACAGAGCCTTTACAGATATACCCTAAGTTATCTCAATGAAACCATGTCATACACCCAACAGATGCCCCAAATTTCAGCTTATCCATGACCAAGGTCGTGGGCATAGTGCCGCAACATATAGATGCCCATTCTGGAGCTGATCGGAGCAGAAGGTCATTCAGGTTTGCTCAGCGCAGCCCTCGAATTAATTGGCAGTCGGGGAAAGAAGAACAAGCGGCCACTGATAATCATGTTTAAATTTAGTTGGCTGTGCGCAGGTGTTATCAGCATATGATGGTCGTGTCTCTCCATATCAAAGAACTTATAAATCAATATATATATATTATATATGTATATATGTACACAAAGGTCGCCTCACCTTGGCAAAACTGCGTTTAGTGGGGGCACTGATAACAGGGTTCATTCACGAATCTTTTGGCCCCTTGGCGACCAAAACAAAGTCGTCTGGCAATGGAAAGGAATCCAAGTCATTTCAAAGAAATAATAATATATACAGACGAGTATATCAAAAAGATATTGCATTGCTTCAGTGATTTTACCAGCGAATCTCTAATCTGTGCTAACCCAAAGGTCATACAACAAGATGCCATTACTTTCTATGGATCAAGTTCGCTGGGCAAGTTCGTAACTTCAAAAATGACAGAATAATTATCATGCGATCAACACGACACAATAAACAGAACACTCTTTATGCATCGTCAAGCTTTTATTGCAAAACTTGTCCAGTGGAGCGATTAAACCAGCGCTAGAGAGCCACAACAGCTAATTGCATTCGATTCATTGTGGCTTTATAATTCCCGTGATTACGCCCCATGCCCCCACTAAGAGGGGGGGTGGGGGTCACTTTGGGGGCGGGCTCTTCGACGACCCTGAACTGATAGGCCCCGGTACAGTGAAGCCAGAAGGAACTGGCGTTACTCATGGCGTGTTTGTGTTTCTCATTCCGTTCAGTTCACTTCCACCGATAATCGAATTGTACTGAAATAAGGGCACTTTCCACTGAGAGAAACGCGACTATAGTATTCCTCGTTCAGCATTTAATTTACGAGGTGTAATACATGCAACATTGTATTGCATATAAGCATGGCACTATTTATAGGACTTTTATTGGATTATCTCATAGCCAAAAGCGAGCAATAGCTTTTAATAATAATCTAATAGCCAGAAGGAACGCGATGTTTTAGATCGTGTTCACTTCAAAATAAATATTGAAATGATGTATATATATTATTATTTGTGAACGTATTATATGCACTTGCAATGCATTTTTAGCCAAGTTTGAGCAACAAATTGTCGTCGTAAAATCATGTACTAAGTTCCCAACCAAACAGAAGTCATGTTTGCATAGCCCTCTCGAACTTGGAACTGCCAACAAAATCAGGCTATTGCATCGCTTTTTCTCTGAGTGCAGCCTGTGGGCTGCAGAATTTGCTGGCCAGTTTAGTTATAGCCATTAGGGCTTCTGGCTAATTAGCATGGCCAACCGGTTGGCCATTAGAGAGTTGGAAATGTAGAATAAATAGAAGCACGCCAACACAGGCCAGTATGAATATGTGAGTTTACATGCATATATATTATATTCAAAAGCTGAGTAAAAGTTGGCCGTGCCGTTCAGCTTGGATTTTCAGTATCGGTGCATTGGTCGAGGGTGCAATGTTCTTGAAGGGCTATTTTAAAGTCTATTTGCCATCCAGGAGAAAATACTTTAAGTAAATTACTATTTGGTGCATCTCTCAATCCAACAAATACCACAGAATAGTTTGAATATCGAAATAGTCGTTATTTAAAATTGAAAACAGCAGTTTATACAACTGAAATTCAAGCACAACTGAAAATTAATGCTTTCAAAACAGTTTTCGAGCTGGAAACAGCATTATTGATTAACACATGTAGATTCTTATTATCGGCTGATTATTTTCGCACTGCCTTAATATGCAGAAAACGATCATACATACAATATTGCTGAGCACCGCTTTAAATACCCATAATTTCGATGATTAAACATATATGTCATAGTGGTAATTTCAGCATTTTGTGGAACAACTGCATTGAGTTGAAATGGTGTTATCAGAAATAGTTGAAATGGCGTTATCAGAAATAGTTGAAATGGATGTGAATATCAGAAGTCCCTTTGATAACAGTGAAAACTAAGACTTTGTTTTATTTACTACGTCAAGTGGCCAGCTATTCCGCTTGTTTGTCATATGGAGTGAGCACTGTATTCTCGTGCTTTGTTTTATCTAGCTTTTTTTTGTTGGCAACGCTGGCTGCCCAACTCCCTCTCTCTTTGTGTACCCTTTTAATTACAAGTGCAGAGCGGGACGGTTAATGGGGGGTGGGAGGTAAGAGGGGGAGCGGGAGCGAGAGTGGGGGAGACTTGGCTCCAAAAGTGCGCGATCAGCATGAGAGAGTTCATTAACAGTTGAAAGGGAGCCGGAGAAGCACACTGTAATTATTGTAATACCAATTCCCCACCGTTTCCCCTCCATTTTACCCACACTGTCCACATTTCCCACATTTCCAACTTTTCCATTTCGCACTGCTTTCGCTTACCTGTGCAGCTTGTAGATGAAAAGCACCAGAAACGAAATGTAGATGAGGGCCACGAAGACCAAAGGCAGCAGAAAGGTGACAATTAGCGGGGTCAAGAAGCGATATAGCCATAGCGAATAGTCCAGATCGATGTAGGAGGCTAAAATCACAGGGTATGCAGACGGTGGAGCCGCATTCGTAAGTGCGCAATGCCCATTATCGGGGCCCAAAATATATGGTATTACTCACACAGAAGGGAATGCAGCGTTTTGTACAGGTTCTCCAGAAATTCCATTTTCAGGCGCTTCCGTGCTTCATTTGTTGTTCTTGCGCGAAAGAGAAATGAAAATCCAACTGAAGCCGCACACCACACCACACCACAACAAAAAACAAAAACAAACAAAAAATAGAAGACAAAAAAAAAAGGGAAAAGTACGAAAGAAGCAAAAACAAATCGGCTTGGCCTGATTTTGTACACTTTCTTCGGCTCGCTTTGCGCTTCTCGAATTCTTTTCGCCTCTTCCTGCTTGGCGATTCTTTTAAATGGTCATCGTGTCATGCGTTTAATTTGAATCATTTATTTGCGCCGCTTGAAATGCATTTTATTTGCATGTTATTGTTATTGTCAGTCGAGAGTGTTTGTTTGTTTGTTGTGATTTTTCTAGCAGAATGTAAACAATTCGCCGCTGCGCTCCGCTCGGCTCACACACAGTAAAGACAACCGACACCGTTCGCAGTCAGAAACATTGTGATCGCGCCGCGCTTTTTTGTTGGTTAATAATACTACAAAGTAGCGATTCTTTTATTGTTGTTCCTTCATTTCATTTCGCTTGCTTTTCTGTTGCTCTTCTGCGTTCTTTACGCCTGGCAACGCCGGCCAGCTGTTCTGGCCGCGGTCGTTGCCAGACTTCGGTTCTTGGCAGCAAGAACACAACAGTGATGCTGTAATGGCCATTTACAGCTTTCCTAGCCGGGCAAGAGAGCTCGAATAATAAAAAAAGTGGTTATTGTTAATCTTTCTATAGCATGTTATGAATGGCAAATTTTTGATGACAGTTCTTGATAAGAGCAACAACATACTTTAATTTAAAAAATTCGCTCATTGAATAATTATCGATTGAAAGCTGTCGATGACTGCTGGGATGCCGTGACACCGTCGATAATATCGGCTGAGCACTCACAGTTGTGCCAGCACTAGCACTTATCGACGTTAAATCGGAAGTCGCATTGCAATCGCATGCAATTTGTTTTGTTATTAATTTTCCAAATAATCTCGGGCTTGGTGCTGCTGCCAATTGTGATTCACTACGTCTATTACATAATAAATGCGATTGCCGGCGATTTGTGCGAGCAGAAGAGAGCGCAAAGAGAGCAGCAGCTGCAAAGGAGCCCCACTCCGCGCCACCAAAACCGCCACCCCGCGCAATCCCCGCACCCTCCGCCCACCGAAGAGGAGCCTGTGGTTTTCATAAACAATTTGACAAATTCTAGTCGCTCTCCGCCAGCAGCAACAACAATGCAAACAAACGATGACGCCAAGTTCATTAAAAAGTGCGTATGTATGGGATTAGATCGTGCGTGCGTGTGTGTGTTTGTTTGTTTTCTTGTGTGGGTGTACAAGTGGCAGAAGAACAAAAGAAATAGCAAAAACACTCGTCATACGTCAGAAAGAGAGCAACAATCACCTTGCGCTCTCTATTGATTTTCCACTTTGCGTTCAAGCTTCCTCTTTTTGTTTTTGTGGCTTGCAACCGTTATTCATTAAGTTCTTAACTTCGCAGTTCGTTTTAAGAGAACGAATGCATAAGTTAAGCCATACTCAAAAGTAGAACATTTCCCAGTGGATTGAAAAATCTATTACCTCATTACGCATTGAACCGCATAATTTATGATTGATCCAACAATTTGTCTCGCTCTCAATCCAAAAATCAAACAAAATGCAATAACAACAACAAACAAACAACCAAGGAGGTGGAAAGGCGGCTCCATTGAACCGCATCCCACGGATAAGGCGCTGATTGTCAACTACCAACTGGAGGCCACCGTCTTCGGGGAGCCCAATAATCCGATGATCGAGGAGAAGAAGGTAAGAACGCATGGTTACACATCGCTGCACTGGGAGAGAATGTCACAAACATTCCAGTATTTTAAAGATGTTGATAGAGAAGTCATTCATAACTACACTATGGGAATGACACATAGTTATAAACTGATGTGAGCTTCATAAAACTATAAAGTAAGGAAAAAAATCTCATATTAAATAAGATGCTTCCGTTTCTTCCGGTGTACCCCAAAAAGGGTTAAGGGGCGGGGGGCAGAAGCTGACATTGAGCGGCCCAATCGATAGCGCAACAACAACGGGGTCGATGACGGGTTGCGCTCCAAGTAGTGAGTAAAAATGAGTAAAAAAAAAAAAAAGATTTCCAAAAGCGGTCGGTTGGCCGGGTCTTTAACCTCAATTCACGTTTTTTGGCCGAGCGACAAGCTCATTTTTCGTCGACTGTTCACGACCATAAATAAATAGTAAGTCTCTTTTTTTTGTTGCTCTTGGCCAGAAATCTTGGCGACCGTAAAAGTTTTAGTTCAGTTTAGGTGCGAAGTGAATAATTGGCCACTGAAGTGCTCTTAAGCTAGTTCCTCAAGTTTAAAACAATCTTGGTAATTACTCGTTGTTTATAAATAGCAAAAGAACTGCAATTAGCTTAGTAGTACATTATTTTAGTCATTACTAATGAGTATATTGTATTTCATTGCCCAGCACTGTCAAAAAATCATTCGACTCCGCTCGCTGAACGCCAAAACGGATCCGGCTGCCTTGGCACGAGAAGTGGTGGAGAAATGCGATCTCATCCACAAGTCGCAGCTGAATGATGTCGAGCAGATAATCTTCTATCTGAAGAATCGCAAGGATAATGCCAGCAATGGTAAGAAGCTCGGTTGCAGTCGGAAATCCATTGATCCATAATTGAATGCCCATTAGATATTCCGGATAACAATACTCACAGTCGGCGATCGGCGGCGCTGCACACCTCGCACACTCGCTCCTCTGCCCGATCGCACAGCAGTGTGGCGGCCATGACTAGCAGCACAGGAAGCGGAGGAGGATCCACAGGAACCAGCAATGGCGTGTCAAATGCCCTGAGTACCGCCACGCCCACGGCGGATGTGTCCATCAACAATATCGATGAGTATGTGGAGCTGCTGTACGAGGAGCTGGGCGAACGCATCCGTGGCTCGGCCATGATCCTTCAGATGGCGCGAAATCCCGATAATCTCGAGGAGCTGGAAAAGAATGGTAATGAAATGTTGCAGTTCTGTAGCTTCAAACCTAACACATTGTCGTATCTCATCATTTTAGAAGCCTGCCTCAGCGCCTTGTCACGTGTTCTGCGCGAGGATTGGCGCAAATCCCTGGATCTCTCCACCAACATAATCTACATCTTCTTCTGCTTCTCCACATACACCAAATTTCATCCGCTCATAGTGCAATATAAGGTGGGAATAGAGTTTTTAATTAAGTTCCAAGGAATTGTTTAATCTTCGTTGATCTATGTCAGATTGGATCGCTTTGCATGGATGTTATTGACTACGAGCTGCGCCGCTACGAGACAATGCGCAATGAGCTGGACGTGCGCAAGCAGCCCAATGGATCCTCCACTCCACATTCGGCCAAGGCCAGCAAGGAGAAGCTGAACCGCAGCACCGACGACTTCCTGGACATCATGAACGAGGAGAAGCCCAAGGAGGTATTTTAAACTGTTCAGTTATTGGGAAATATATCGATCAAATAATCAATAACTTACTTTCAGATGGAGCCGCCGCGACGTCGCATTCCGGAACTAAAACAGCGGCCCAAGTCGGGCAATTGGAGCAGCTTTCACGGCTCCATGTCGTCGTCGCTGATCAAGAGCCAGATCCTGAACAGCAGCTACCACGAGTCCCTCTGCGCCGGCGGGTCACCTGCCGGCGATCCTCCGGCTGTGCCGGCTGAACTGAAGGCCCAAAGCAACGAGTCGCTGGACAGGAATGATCCCAAGGTTAAGAAGGAGGAGATTGATCGGTTGAACAAGCAGCTCAAGATCTTCGCCAAAAAGCAGGAGCAGCTGCTGCGCGTGGCCTTCTATCTGCTGCTAAACATGGCTGAGAATGTTAAGCTGGAGGAGAAGATGCGCCGCAAGCACATCGTCAAGATGTTGGTCAAGGCGCTGGATAGACAGAACATCGATCTCCTGATGCTCGTCAGCACGTTCCTCAAAAAACTATCGATTGTGGGCGACAACAAGGACGAGATGGGCGCCCTGAACATTGTGGCCAAGCTGCCACGATTGTTCCAGAGCACGCACACGGATCTGGTGCAGGTCACCTTGAAGCTGGTCTTCAATCTCTCCTTTGACGGCGGACTGCGTCGCAAGATGATCGCCGCCGGCTATCTGCCCATGTTGGTGATGTTCATTAACGATGAGAAGCATCACGGCATTGCGGTGAAGATACTGTACCACATGAGCTTGGATGACAAAGTGAAGGGCATGTTCACGCAAACGGAGTGCGTGCAAATGGCCACGGATGCTATAATCCTAAACCTCAATGTTAAAGTCGATCTGGATCTCATTGCCTTGTGCATTAATCTCTCGCTAAATCGACGTAATGCCCAGATTATGGTGGAGGGCCAAAGGTTGCACAGCCTGATGGATCGGGCCTTCAAGTACCAGGATGCCTTGCTGATGAAACTGCTGCGAAACTTGTCGCAGCACGAGTCCCTGCAGCAGCAGTTCATCGACTATGTGGGCGATCTGGCGCGCATTTTGACCATCTGCGATGACGAGGCCTTTATTGTGGAATGCCTCGGTATTTTGGGCAACCTGGCCCTCACCGATTTGGATTACTCGCAGATCTTGCAGAACTTCCAGTTGATTCCATGGATTAGGCAGATATTGGTGCCGTGCTCCAGAATGGACGATCTTGTGCTGGACACCATTGTTTACTTGGGCACCTGTGCCTGCGACGAGCTGTGTGCCCTGCTCTTTTGTCGCGCCAAAGTGGTTATATCCTTGATCGAGCTGCTCAAAGCCAAGCAGGAGGATGACGAGATTGTGTTGCAGATCATCTTTGTGTTTCAGCAGATTCTCCGGCACGAAAGCACCAGGGAGTACATGATCAAGGAGACAGAATCGCCTGCCTATCTGATCGATCTGATGCACGACAAGAACGAGGAGATCCGCAAGGTGTGCGACTATTGCTTGGACATAATCGCCATTAGCGACAGCGAGTGGGCCAAGCGCATCAAGGTGAGTTGCTTGTCAGGCTAAATATGGCATGTCTGAGCACAAACATGTTATTTCTGTTCATTACATGGCAGCTGGAGAAGTTCCGCAACCACAACTCACAGTGGCTGTGCATGGTGGAGTCGCAGCAGGACCAGGACAATGAGCAGGACTACGCCGACCAGGAGGACGAGTGCGACAACGATCTGGACACGTATCTGCGCTCCGAGTATTTGGACAATTGCGATCTTTACAATGACAATGCCGACAATGACAGCAACAGCAACAGCAACTGCAACAGCAACCATAGCAACAACAATCCGGCCAGCCCGGCCATGTCCACCTACAGCAGGCCACTTAGCACGTGAGTTTGGCACAAGTTTCACGTTCGATTTGAGTCCATAATTGTATTGATTATTGCCATTGTACAGCTACCGCCGCAGTCAGGATCTCGATGATCTGTACAACATGACCTCCAGTTCCAAGTCGCAGGGCTCCAGCGACAACAACTTCATATTCAAGTCGAACAAATCGCTGGACGCCGATGGCCTGCACGAGGAGCTGCTGATGGCTTAAATCTGGACAAAGATCTTGCAGAAGGTTAACCCGAACCGATCAAATTTGAATTAAGAAGCTTCAGCTGATTGCCCCCCGTGTACATGTTTAGTCACTAC